CTCAGCAATACTTTATGCTTTTCCATCAGCTGTTGGGCATTTGGTCTTTGGAAATTGTTTTGAGGGAGTCGGTGGAAGAACCGCTACGACCCGGATTCGATTCCCGTGTCAAATTATATTGACAAACATTTTCAGTTTTTTTTTTTCTGATCAGGTTTTAGAGGGAAGAATGTTGTCTTCGTTTGTTAGTGAACCAATCTCTCACGCCTTCTCATTGGACAAATGTGGCCATGTCTGTATAAAAGAGGGGACTAAGGGAATGCGAGGGGGCTCAGAGCGTGGAGAATTGGTGTGGAGACGCTTAAAGTGTTTTTCTACGAGGTTTTTCCGTGTCTGGCTGCTCTCTTCGCATCCCGGTGTCACCCGAGTCCGATCCCTACCAACGCTACAATAAAGATAAGTACTGTTTTGTTTTATTTTACCAATCGCGAGTTTCATTTACCTCCTTCTTGTTGTTGGTGTTGTACTCTTGAGTGTACTCTTTTCTGTGTATTGAGTTACATTTACTTTAGGCACTACTTTATTCCATTTTTGTGTGATAACCCGCAAAAGAAGTAACTTTTGTCACCCGCATTGGGCACTTTTTTTCTGATTTAAAAAAAATGCTCCAATGACCCCCGATTCTTGCAAAAGTTCAACCCCACCAGCGAGTGCAAGTAACCAAACGGGGCTATTGCACATTTGTAAGTGCAAAGTCGAACTGCTTTTCACGTGTGGTGCACTTACAGTAAAAGCAGTCGCCTACTTCTACCCATCATGATTATCATGGCCTGTACCACGTGTACTAGGGGTAAGAAAAAAAAGTTTTGACAAAGCGTCAAATGGCCATTTTGATGGTCTCTGGAAAGCTGTAATGAAAGAATGAGACAAACTCAAATTATTTGACTAAAAAAAAAAGTTGTTTTAAGCTTTTCAGTTATATTGGGAAAATGTTGTTTAGTTGTTAAGTTAACTGATCTTCCAAACCTTCTCATTGGACGAATGTGGCCATGTTTTTACTTAAAGAGAGTTCAAAGGGAATGCGAGGAGGTCTTCCAGGATTAATTGTGTGGAGACGCTTAAAGCGTTCTGTTTGCTTGATCCGTGTCTGGTAATCTCACATAACGGTGTGAGCCTAGTTCGCTCCTTATAAACGCTGCAATAAAAGATAAGTACTGGCTTTGTTATAACTGATTGTGTGTTTTATTTGTTTATTTAAGTCTTCCTTTTATTTTTATTGTACGTTTTGAGTGTAAGCGCTTCTATGTGTTGCGTTACTTTTACTTTAGGCTCTAGTACTTTTTATTTCGTATACCTTAGGACGAGTGCATCGATACTATCCCAACTATCGGAAGATGACCGACTTCTGTACAACGGAATTGTTTGCTTCGGTCACATCGCGTGACACAGGGGAATGGAGTACACCTTACTGACAGGAAAGACGTCTGGGCGACGCATACCTAGACGCCCGCCGACACGCTTCGTGACTAATTAAAGGAACACACTGGTTTAACGGTCGCTGAGATGATACATCGAGCTAAAGGCTGATATGGCTGGCGTCGTGTTTGGGATGTAATATGTACAGTGGTGGGCCACAACATACGATCGCGAATAAAAAATGGTATTACTATTTTTTTTTTTGTAGGTAACCTGTAAAAAATAACTTTTGTCAAAACTTCCTTTGCTATTTAGAAACAGCTTTCTCAAATGGAAAATTCACGATAGATTTGACATTGAATTTCATTCGAAGTTTCCAAATCACAGATATGTAATCTATATATATAAAATTGAATGTCTGTGTGTCTGTGTGTGTGTCCTCTATGGATTCAAAAACCATACATCCAATCGCCGTGAAAATTTGGGATATTATTAGGCATATCCCCGGAAAGGTTTACGAAAAATAATTTCTTGAATATCTTAAATATCCTTAGAGTTATTTGCAGATTTGTAGCTTTAACTCGCAAGCGGGGGGCGGGTGACCTCCGGGAACTACGTCTATCTTCCATAAACGACCATGATTTTATTCAACTTATCGAGTATTTTTCAAGGGACCGGGAAAATATGTAGATAAAACGATGATTTTGTAATGTAGAAAATTAGGAAAGACAAAATTCAGGATGACACGGCACACAGGGACCGGGAAAAAATAATCACTTTATCGAGAGATTCACGACCATGATTTTATTCAACTTATCGAGTATTTTTCAAGGGACCGGGAAAATATGTTAACTAGATAAAACGATGATTTTGTAATGTGGAAAATTATGAAAGACAAAATTCAGGATGACACGGCACACAGGGACCGGGGAAAAATGTTCACTTTATCGAGAGATTCAAATTTACGAGTTTCAAATTATCAAAATATATCTTTTTTTTTTAATAAGTTTATAGAGAATTGTTTTAACAAATGTTCGTTAGACAAACCTTTACTGGGGTAAAACCTCGGGCGAAGCCGGGTACGTCCGCTAGTATCTAAATAATGCTTTTTAATACATTAAAAACTTTTTTTTTTTTAGAATTTGACCAATGCCTTTAGGAAACGAGGGTTTGTCTGTTGAGGAAACAAAGCTAACGTACGAAAGGTTCTAACATAAGAGTCTCTAATAAAACTACAAATTGAATTCAACAAAGACAATTTAATCGACGACAACAAGGAAAAGACAAATTTTAATATAAAAACCTCTATGACAGATTCTGGTACAAAAAAAGGAGAAAAAAACAACAACACACGCTTGACATTGCATTTTATTAACTTTAATTTTGAAAGAGTTGCAATTTATTAATTCCTCGGGCAGCGCGACACAAAAATATTACACTTTATGACATTTAAATAAATAAATAAATAAAAAAGGCTGTACACTCTTTATTGCTCTTTTATATTTATAAAAATTGCGCCATAATTTTTTAAAACGGAGATATAGAAGGGGGGGAGGGACTTAAAAAAATAAAAAAGACAAGTTAATTAACCAGGCTAAATATGAATATTTATAGTTTCTTTCCTCTTGTGAAGACGATGTCAACGTTTTTGTAAAGATTGTCAACTGACATTACAAAATTTGAGGGCCGCTTGGTTTCATATGAAGAGAAAAGAATTTAGCGATATGTCATGATGCAATTTACACCTAAGTTTTCCACCGACAGAAATTAGAAGTACAGTAGAACCTCCCTTTAGCGGACACCTCCTGAATCAGGAGAGGATTATTTTGTATAAAAAAAAAATAGCTGAAATTTTATCTTGTTTTTATTACAAGAAAATAAGACCAAATCCAAATAATTTAATAGTATTTTAATACACACTATTAAATTATTTGTATTAGGTTCTGATTTTCTTGTATTATAATCTATAATCCAAATTGTGCTTTATCACTCTCTTGCTTTTATTTTACAGGCTCATTATTACAGTAAAACTTCCATGAGAAGACACCCGCACTAGAGAACACCTCTCTACAAAGGACAGTTTTCATTTGCAAAATTACCATTTTTACAATTTAGCAAATCTCTGGTAAGAGGACACCTCTCCCTAAAGGACACTTTGGCTCTGTAATTAGGTGTTGTCCTTTATAGGGAGGTTCTACTGTATATCAATAGAGAAAGCGCACTTTTTTAAATAATAAAAACTTAGGTGATTGTTAATTTACCAAAACAAAGAACAATTAAAATTAAAGTTATATTAAATTAACTTTAATTCGAAGTGATGAAAGATAATCAAAATGGTTTGTAAGATAGACTCAAATCTTTTAATTTCCAAAGCTATGCTTCAAGTAGGAATTCAATAATCTTTGCTAATTATTTGAAAAAATTAAAAGATAAAAAAAAAAAATCAAATTTCTGATAACAAGTATGAAAAGTAGTTCTCTAAATGCTTTCCTCTTGTCAAGAAAGTGTTTGGGAAACACCATTTACAGGCGTCCGTTGGCGCGTCTCTGTACTACAATACGACAATATTTCCCTTACATATTTCAGCATGGGAAAAATTTTGAATTATCAAGAAAATGGGTTGGCCAAATATCAGGGAACAGGCTAAATCGACGTTTATTTGATTTCTGCTCCACTAGATGGCGCTCTGCCATCTAAAAAGCACATGTGCTCGTGGTCAGGATATGCCTTCATTATTTTTAATATTTTAGTATAAGTGGAGATATCGTGTAGGGTCATTTACAAACTACACGTTGTGAATTTTTATCCCAAGTAACACCCACTTCTAAATGTTCTTCTTATTTTGATAAATCATTCGACGGGTTATTTCTGAGTGAACACGAATCAATACTTTGATAAATGTCAAATTTCAGAATTTATTTCGATTTTTTTTTATCTTTTTTACATTTTTATATATATAAAGTTTATATTTTACTTTCGGGGGATATTGATCTATAAAAATAAGCCACCCTCTCCTGTCAAAAAGTCGCAAAACTACGCTAATCTATGGCGTCTGCTAATTTAACGTGATGGGAAATGCCTTTACATTTGGAATTGGACATTTTCCCACAGTTAGGTGTCTATATTCTCAGAGTGAAGGTTAATTATATACCTTTACGTGTGTAACATTGCCGAGGCTTCAGCGTGAACATGCTATAGCCCTAATTTTTGTTAATAAAATTAAAACTTTAAATATGGACTTATTATAATTTTATCATTAACTTTCTTTGATCTTAATTCTATTTTTTTCCCTTTAAATATGCATATATATATATATATATATATAAATAAAGGCCACCATCTTACCCGTCAAAATAGACGTCAAACTATACGCCATCTATATTTTGGCCTAGCCACTTTGACAGCTAAACACCTCTTTGATAGATTGTGAATATTCCATTTGATTCCGGGTGGATCTCATGAAATTAAATCCACCCAGGACTAACGAGAACCATTAGCCTGAAACCATGGTCTCCAGATGGGCGTTTCACAGTTTTCTAAAGATGGTGTTGTGGCTTTGTCACCGACTTGAGTCCGCTAGTTTGCGGAGACCATCGATAGATGGCGTCTAGCTTAGACGGGAGAGGCGATCTTTTTTATATAAATCAATATCCTACCGGCTTCATCTATCGTCGTTGAAAAAGGCAGAGTTGGAAGTTAAAAAGATCACTGTTATAACCTCTCTATCTGACTACTCCAACGCTTGTTCGGCGGTACATATACTAAAATTGGAACGATACAGAGATGATTAGCATGGCCCCTGCGCAAGGATGACACGCAAAATCGTGAAGCGTTCCATACTCCAATGTCAGATAATCAACCTAAGTAAATTCTACCCTACTCGATTATCCACCTTGTCATAGTTTTTAACATTGAGGTGGAAGCTACTTATTCTCCCAATCTACAAAGATGTAAATCATTCATGGCAATACTTTCCTACTTCAATGTTTATTCACCTTTCAGTTTAACGCCTTCGAATTGATATTTGTAAAATGGATTCATGTTAACTTTACAAACTCGACGGCAACACCTTAACGTTACCTCGACAAGCACATATATACAGACACTCTATACCAAAAATGGAACTGGCAACAAATGCGATGATTGTTTATCTCGAGTTCCTATATAATTCAAGGTAATCATCAAATATGAATGGCAATAAACAACGAAATACATGATTCAATAAATTAAATATCGAAAGATATGTTTAATGTGACTAGATCAGAACAGCAAATAAGGAAGCATTTTCGAAAATATAAAGGAACTTAAAGAGAATCCAGATAATTCATATTGAATATACAAACTCTCCAAGACACGGTGTTCTATGTAAAGAATAGCGAGTTACAAAATTCCTTCAAAACAATCCTTAAAGGAAATTTATCAAACACATATTAGGGCGCATAGACAAAGAAATTTCACATAATTCAAGAACATATGAATCGTGTGTTAAAAACAAATCTTCCAAAGGTGCTCGTTATATATCCCTGGGATGAACCTAAAGAAAATTGGGATCATATTGTAGCGAAAAATAAATTTTATAATTTATTTTATTATTTAATTAATCAATGAAAATACACAGCACACAGAATATAACGGTGTATTTATGGAATCATCATGTATGTTCCATAGCTTGTTTGTTCAATATTCTCTAGATGTAAATAATTGGTTAGTTGAATTGGAGTCGCCTAGTCGTGTTGAGGCGTAATGAATAAATAATATTTTACTTCATCATTGATCTGTCATCCAATATACTACGTTACAATATACATATAGATTGTCCAGAGCCATTTACCATCACTATTTGTTTGATGGTTGTCAAGCCAAAATCGAGAAATGTAATAAGTAAAAATGTCTCGAAAAATATTTATAGCTCTCTATTCAATTATTCTTCTATCATTATTATAATAATTAATAGTGCAGACTATTGACAAGATGCCAATAAAATTATATTAATTTTGAATTGTTTTCGGAGATTTTTGACATTCATGGATAACGCCATGTAATGGCTTCCGACAATCCTACTATTTCTGTTAGTAATTAATTCATATCATTTAGTACATAAAATGGTATTTTAAAAAATGCACCCGCGCGGACATCCAGATACAAAACCTAACCTGAAAATCGAATAAATTTGAAGAAAAAAGAACTTATGTTTATATATAGGCATACCAAGGTACGGGAAGTTATTTTCCGATAGCGAGCCACTCCATTATCTAATAACAAGACTGATCCATACAAATCCAACTTGACGCAATTCTGACCACGCAATAAAGTCAATACAATTAAGCGTAGGAGAAATAGTTCAATATTCCATCAAGCAGTTTGACAAATTCAATCCTAGGTTCCTGGAACTCAGCAACCTACAGTGTAAGTTGGACCAGAGTCTACAACGTCCGAGATCCAGGAAACCATTTCCCCCAGAACCAGATCCTATAAGTCTAAAACGTCAGCCTACTTGAAGGACTACATGGTGAAATAATTTTCTATTCTATTAAGAATTTCCTTTAAACCGTAAAGAAGAACTGTTATATATAAAAACCTATTTGAGAGAATATTTTGCTATCAATTCAATACCTATTTATAAATTGCCTATGTATTTTATACCCAATTCCATTCAATATGATTGATGGTTGATGTATTATCAATTTCGATTGTGATAAATTACAATTTCAACAATGAAGTGAATGCTACTTACTTTCAAAAAAAAAAGCTATCCCAATCTACAAGAGTTATTATTAAAAGATAGTCCAGTTTATAAGGAGAGAGAGAGATCAGTTTAATGTTTTATGACAAACAAGAATTTATATTTGATATGAAGGTTCGAGTATACATATATCCAAGAGTTGACCGTGAAAAACAAGCTACAAATAGGCAGCAGTTTGTGAAGACACGAAAACGGTCTGTAGAGTCAGGACCCCAAGTTTGGGCGCCATACCATGCAGAGGTATATTACGGGCAAATGAAGAAAACTTACATACTATCTGTTTTCATCAAAAGCTTATGCTTGATTAAGAAAGAAAAGCTAAAGTATCAGAAATGAGTCGAAAACAGCGATGTACATTTTTGAAACGACTGATTATCAAACTGGAGAATTCCTAAAAAATACATATCGGTTTGTCTTTAAATTCTAAAAGTTCTTCTCCTAACGATGTTAAGTTTATAAAATTTAAGTAAGAAGCAAAGTAACGTTTTTACGATTTGTATCGAATTACTAAACTCACCTGAGAGTCTTAAATCAACCTCGTTATTTACTCTCCCTTTACACCAGCTAGAATACACTCTAATAAATATTTGACTAACTCCTGGAACGTACAGAAGTCGCCAAAGGAGATTTAAATTCCCTATTTACGTAACACTTTTTCAGCACAAAGATGTAATGATATCCAAAACTATCACGTAAATATCTTTTAGAAAAAAAAAAAAACGATGTAAAATGTTGTTTGTTGATGGGAGGTCAGCCACTCTGCGACTCATCCTATGAGTGTTGCACTCGGGTGGGTTCACCAAGCTATCGATTCGCGCGAGAGAGAAAGAGCGAGAGAGAGAGAGAGAAGGCTGCAGCTGCGGAAGAGGAGCAGGGAGAGACTGAACTGGCCGCCGTCCGTCTATAAATAGCAATCAATGCGCAAAGACCCCGCGCAGAGCGAGGGCGCCGGCATTGACGACAAGAGGATGCGGCGATGGCGGCAACGTCGTAGGTAAGGAGAACGAACTCTCAGTAGCCACAAGTCACCCCTGCTTCCTCAACCTTTCCTGTCCCTTGCGCAGCCCAGGGCCGAGGAGGACATTGGCTCCAGACACGAAACATCGATCCCGCCCTACCGTGCGTGACGCGATCCATTTGCTGAATGAACCGTCTGGCCGGAAATAGTAAAATAGATTTTTTTACGCTAATATTCCTTCATTGATAGCGAGAGCTTCCGCATTGACGTGGCACGCTCGACCCGTGTCTTGATTAATTCGGCGTTTGGCATCCAAACCTAGTTTCTTCGTGTTTAGGCCTATTTTGTACGGCATTAAGCAAACCTGCTCGAGGTCTATTATTGCATTTCATTCCTCATTGATGAAGATGTAAACGATCTTTACTTATAAAGAGATTAGGATAGGAAAACCAGTAAGATATACAATTTAAAAGAATACAATAAACATATTGTCATTAAAAAGAAAAATATTCGGAATTTAGAATATAATGAAAAAGAGAAGAAAGATCGAAAGGAAAGATAAGCGAAAAAAGGTGAAGGACCTGAAGACTATATTTGGGATTCATGTGGCATCGATTGTGGGGGCGGAACTTTAATTCCAGCGAGGCGCACTCTGTGGACATAGTCTGTTTTAAATATGGGTGGATCCAAACGGATCATGGTGAAATAAATCCAGTTATTTAATAATTACTTTAACTATTTTTTTACAAATCGATTAGGATTACAACAAGCTATTAGTGGAAATATTTCCAATCATTTTTGAATCGCTTTCTTAGTTCTTAGACCGTCTTAAAAAAAAAAAAGTTTCTTAAAGTCTTAATTCAAATATAGCCCAACCTTCCGAGGATTTTTTATTAGATTCTGGATTTTCCCGAGGATATCAATTTCAACAGAAGAGTAGAACCAACGATAGGCGTGTCCGGAATATAAGCTATCTGTAGCAAGGATCATATGTCCGAACTACAGGGAAGTTCCAATTATCCAGGGGATGACAGCACCACGAAGTGACTCAGGTCCAAGTCGGGCTAATTTTAGTCGGTCCGTGAATGGCGCTATTTGCAGAGCACCAGGGGGACCGCGCGAGGAAACCCGAGGCGCCCGCTCCATACAAGGCTCCTGCTATATTTAAAACAAGCAGGCGACGAGCCCCTCCCCCCTAAAATTAACCCCCTCCCGTCCGCCCCTCACGATAACAATTTAACGCCGGATGGAGGAGTCGCAAGGATGTGGACGATGCTAAGCTTTAGCTGGTTGAGGATTGGCCAAGTGTAAGTTCAACCTATTTGGTCCCCTTCAACCAGCTGTGGTTAGCATCGAGTATGTTCTTCGCCCGCCAGGTACGTATTTCTGGAATGTGACGCATGAAACCTGCATGTATTGAGAGCATTCTTTTCTGTAGAGCATTTTTGAATCTTAGCATTTCTAACAACGCACTTTTAAGGGAAAAAAAAAAAGCCTTTTAGATATTTTTATATTTTTCTATTTCAAGTTACCTCTATATTTTTTCTTTTATATATTTCAACCTCTTTTTTTTACTAAATAATTTAGTTATATATATTCAGGATCATTTAAGCCCGTTTATAACATTTCGGGATGAATAGTAATTCGTTTATGATCATAAAACATGGGTATCCTTTAAATCGAGGGAATATTTTTAAAAATTAATCGCATCATTCATACTAGGTGAGCAAAATGGCTTAATATTCCTTCCGTATATCACAACTCTCGCGATGGGAATGAGGAAGCGAACAAACTTTGTTCAGAGATTGTGTTAACATTTTGTTCGTAACATCTCGTAATGCCCTCCGTTGCCGGTTCAATTATGTGTTTAATTAATAGGTATGTTCTTTTTATAAGCTACTTCTCGGGATAGTTAAAAGTTTGAAGAAGGTTTTAGCTGTTTTTTTTTTTAGGTGCACGTAACCCGGACGATACTTTAAAATTACCAAAGAGATGCTTTCTTATGCCATTTTATTTGCTCGCATAAGTTCGGCGGCCCGAGTATGTGGCCAAAAAACACTGGAACGTCTACATATATAAACGAATATATAGAATTTTTGTTGTTTTTAACACAAATTTAACTTGGATATTTTTGCTTAAAAAAAGTCAAAACACGCATTAAATTTAAATTATATCGATACATTAAAAAAATACGGCATTATTAACTCATTTACATATTTAAAATATCTATTAGTGGTATGAAGTTTGCTTTCAGAGTTTATTTTTAATACAAACACCTTCGTTATAAATAAATATACATTTGGAATGAGAGAGAGATTTTTACAGTGCGAATAAACACCGGATGCGTGTATGTTTTCTAGGCAAATAAAGTCAAAGCACAGACAAGTGCAGGCAATCGGTCGAATAAACATGTAGGCAGAACCTATACCGATGTATATCTCAGTGTTAAAAGTGTTCAGCTGGTGCAATTCAAAGTTTTGAGCATAGTGGCAACTCTCTTGAAACTCGTTGTCGCTAGAAATAGAGACGAAAAAAAAAGTGTTTTAAAATCAAAAAAGAACCACTGAAGTACTCTTATGACCATTTCAGATTGATTAAATAGTGGAGCATTGAGATAACTATTACATGTTTCTTAAATAAAGTTACGTTCGAATGTTAGAAACACGATCCTTAAATTTATATCTTTTATATATTCAATTTAATCACATAGATAAAAACACAGTCGAGTTAAAGTGTTTGACCAATGCAGAATTCGTTGAGAAAACGTTGACTAGCTCAGAATTATAACATAATGTTGCGGGAAGAATATATTCATGTACCTAGAGGGGCACCTCTCCCTTTTTAATAATCCCGAAATCATGACATCCCATTAGGCATTTTGTCTGGATTTGCCAAAACTGGTGTGTTATGCATGCTTCATTCTTTAACATCACTAGTAAGGTTTTTCACTAGGGTGATGTACAGTGCCATCGTTCTGGTGTACAATTAAAGGGAGTTGTGCCTTTTTTGGTGCACATACACATATACATTAAATATCTGTTGTGTGAATCCATAAAATTCAACATTTAAATAAAAACGACACATCTTGTATTGCAAAAACAAACTGCGTTTATTGCATGATATTTCGACGATCAGAATGTTCGTCTTTTTTTCAAACGCTTCCTTCTCGCCACAAATGTTATTATGTTTGCAAATAAACACAGTTTATATCGTGAAGTTGCATGAAAGATAGAAAGGAGGGGGAGAAACAAGTGACTTATGGCCATCAGCAATTAATTTAATGGTTGCGAGCTTGCATGGTCCAGTTGCGTGCTTTAGTGGATGGAGCTTGGTTTCATTCGAAAAAAAAAAAAACAATTTATTACTTTCATGATAATGTGAGACGGCAATATCAAGCGGTGCTTTTAAACGCTTTGAGGCGATCCCTAAATGCCAAAAAACAGCGGTTAGGCAGCAATTACTTTGGTTGAGGACAATGGTGTTTGTTATTGATACCACATTATAGCGACCATAACAAAGTAAGCGTAATTTGCTAGTTTTACCCTCAGTTCAAGCCAAGTTTTGATGATGGCTACTTTAGACATTCTAGAAGGTAGCGTCATCTAGACAGCCTCCATTATGCATGCCTTTTATAGAAAACTTATCACCATGTGCTAGAAAAGAGTTTTGCCTGTTAAATATAAGCTAGTTAATTTCGCGTGTGCTGTGAAAAGTTTTGAATGGTCAACGAATTAGTTTCTGAGAATAAATAACAACTTATGCTTGAAACCTGGAACAAAATAGCATGCATGTTGTTTGTTGTAAAGATTCTTCCCTGCTTTTACACTTTGATTTAATCAATAAGGAATCTAGGGTTTCTTTTCTTATTTATTTTATTTCTCAAGCTTTCGGGCTAACATACCCCTAAACACGGGAGATCCTGAAGAAGATAGAAAAGAAGTTGTACGTCAGGATCTCCGTGTTGGAGGGCATGTTGGTCCGAAATCTCGAGAAATAAAAGAAATAATAAAAGAAACGAAACCCTTGATTCCTTATTGTTTGATTCAAAATGCTGTTTGTTGATTAATATTAACTCTCTGTATGCATCTTCCATCAATGTTAATTCCACAAGCAGCAAGTGCATACAGCATTCATTCCATCCCGACAGTATTCGCGATGTAAGAACATTTGAGAGATGTTTATCTGGTTCTTGAATGCCCAACAGTAACAACTCTTAGAGTAAAACTTTGTTACAAGATTCGTGTGAGCCTTTTCAATACATTTGGTATTCGAGATATCTCACAGGAATGCTAAAATTGACCATTGTAGTCGTATATATTTTAAAATGAAATGTCAAAAAAATGTGTGTTACTCTTCACACCGTGAAAACCACTAACCCAATCATTAGGAAATTCTACATGAAGTTTAACTTATGGGCTATTCAAAACTAGAGAGAGAATATTCCTTTCATGTAAACAATTTCAATATATGGAAAACACCAAAAAGCGCTAGTTCCACCTTTTAACAGAAAGCGACAACGCTGATAGGAGGTATGGGATGAGTATATATATAAATGAATACATTTTTGATAAGCCAATATTTTTCAAACGTCTAAAAAAACTAATTTATTTTGAATAACTCAGTCAAATTTTTAAAATGGTTTTGAAAAGTAAGATTATGTGACATAAACACTGAGAGAAGAATAAAAACAATCACTATACTCGGAATGAAATAATACAAAAGAAAGACAATACATCCAGATGGCACAAGAACCTATAAGACATGCAACAACTGTCTTGGTGTGGAACTAACACCGACTCACATATTCTCATGTCGAGCAATAGCCCCCTGCAGATAATTGGCATGGATCCAGAACAGCAGCTTTACACACCCTAAATAGAAGACATTGCGACTTCTGTGATAGAGATCCATGAAATCCAAGCCGCCCCTGTACTGATGAGGGCTAAAGCCCGAAACAATGGTATACAGGTTGTTGGCTTTTGTCTGAATTTGCCAAAACTGGCGTTGTGGCGCATATCCTATACCTATGGTAGTATACCTATACCTATGGTAGCTTAAGTTTTTTACTAAAGTGCAAAGAATAATACATTGTTTTAAAGGGTATTTAAAGGGAAAGGTGCCTCTTTTGGCATATGTATAGTGTCCTCCCGCAGCGTTGAGATACATATTGTCACATCTATGATGACCTACTCGGTGAATCATCATCACCAGTCACGTGACGTCAACGTCTTATCTGTAAATAGTTTGTTTATACATCTCTCTGTTTGTTTGTTGATATCTGGCCAAACTGTGTAAATACTTTCCTTGTTAAAATAAATCTGTTTTATGAATACTCGTTTTGGTGTTACTTATCGAATATGGACATGACGCCAACCCCCCAGGACATCTGCTGGAGACACGCTGGACTTGATCCAGTAACGGAAATATAACCATCCGAAAGTGTGTGTACGACGGGAATGAAGATCCTCGGGAATGGTTCCTGATAAAAGTTCTTTACGTCAGAAAAACACTTCAGAAAGCCACATGAGTCATGTTTCAGGCTTTCCTTTCCCATCATATCCTCAGTTAGCCGTTCTGAAGAGCACAAGACTTGAGACAAAGGTTCTAATGGATAATGCTGACAATTGACATAGGGTCAATGCCCAGTTTCTTTATCTTCAACTTCTTTACAGGGTCTCAATTTAACTTCTTTAAATTTTCTGACAAATTAAAACGTTCCTTACCTTATCCGATCGATGCCAGTGTGGTTTCCTTGAAGGTTCACTGTCGGCTTTGTCAAACGACTTTTTGACATGGTCACCAGTGGTTTACATGGAATATGGCTACGGATATATATATAGAAAGAAATAACTGGCATATATTGTTTTGTGAAAAAAAAGTACAAATGTGAGATTGTACTGGGATAAGGTGGGTAAATTGAGAAAAAGGCTTCTCTTTATCGTGTAACTGAAAATTACATGGTTTGCGCCATCTGTCGGAATAAATATAAACTATTTGATGATTTTTAATTATTCCAGAATTGGTCAAATACCCATTCCTGATTAATGATGGCGCAAGCCATCAGAAACTTTCGGTTTCACGATAAGGATATGCCTTTTTCTTAATACAGTTAAACCTGTCTATAGCGCCCCCTCTTGGGACTCACCAAAATAGAGTGTTATAGAAAGGGGGTGCTATAGACAGGTCACTTTTAATGTAAATCGAATCGTACTACGTATTTAAAATCGGGCGCTATAGAGAGGGAGGCGCTATTTAGAGGGGGCGTTATAGACAGTTTTAACTGTATACTGTTTTATTTGTTTTTCGGTCTGTGTGTTAGGGACATTTCCAATTTATATGATATATTCTGTATAAATAGAATACATGTGTTAAAATATTATAAATCATTAAAAATCAATCATTAAAACATTGATAGACAGGTAGTTAAACTCCATCTTTACCTCCCTTTCACTATGCAAATAGCCGGTGGTTAGTTAATAGAAATGTAATATGATGCACTAGCGCGCCATCAAATGTTCTAATAAAAGACACTATTTGATATTTGCGGAAGAGCGATTGCTCGAAGCATATTATATATTTATAATTGTATGTAATTCTACTGTCCTCAAAGCTTATGTCCATAGTTCTTCTAAAATACCCATCCCAAGAGTATCGAAACAGTATCATTATAAAAGGAAGTTCCAAAAATGTAATATAACAGCGGTATGGTAGATTAAACTGGCGAAACCGCTGGGAGGGTTCACCACTGATGAGCCATTAATTTTTCCATTGCAGTAAGGGCAGTAGAAATTGTTTAATTTTATAAAAAGAATCTTACGCGTTTAAAATAGTTTCGAATTTTGACAATAGAAATGTATTTGGTCATTATAGAAATCCACAATATTTGACCGATCTGGGTGAAATTTGACCAGGAATTACACTTATGGGCACAACTTAAGGTAGTGAAAAATCTTTGATGTCGCCGGTCTTCCTTATTATTATTATTTATTGAAAGAGACGGGTTTTACTGTGGCATCAACATTTTTCTAAAATTACTCATTGATATACAATCATAGACAAAACTTAACTCCACCAATCATCTATTTTTTTTTTTTTAAGGAGACAGAGACAATTTTGTTGACATTAGGTTAACTTGTGTGTCTTCAATAAAAATCACTGTGTATCAAATATATTTCAAGAGTTATTGTCTGAATCCCGATATACATGCTGAAGGTACAACTTCCTTAAGTTTCTGTCCATGTGTGTACTGGCTCGGTCTATAATCATCAGAGCCCATCATCTCCGCCTATTTCATTTTATAATCGAGACAGAATTTGTCCCTTTCCCTCATTTAGCGTAGATAGTTGCATAAATGAAGTGGATAGTTGCATCAAGACATGCGCGCATTGAGCAACGTTTAAATCAATATTGAAAGATTAATGGAATTACTTGGAATTTTCCCTAAATATTTACATACTTACATACACTTCACAATGACATTAGCTATTATAAATGGAATAAGATTGAATTTATGAAAGATGACAGTAATACGGGGAATGAATGTCGGCGGCCTGAAGTAAACGGCGACAATTTTTGGAAGTCCTTCAAATTGACATTTATCGAAACTATTTATATAATTTATAATAAAAGCATTCTAATACAATAGTAGAGCGATATGGAGGTTAATTTGGCGAAACCGCTGAAAGGGTTCACCACTGATGAGCTAAGCCCTCTTATCTAATAACTTTTATCATTGCATTATAAGGTCTGTGAGAGATAATATTTAATATTAAAGACCAAAACAAACATATTGCCAACTATAATAATTATTAGAGCTTAGTAATTATATATATATATAATATGTATATATAGGTTGTATTTTTATGTTGTATATATACATAGAAACACCAAGCCTGATGGATCGCCTTTTGACTCAAACCAAGCCCTAGCAGTAACTTTAAAATTGCGTCTAATAAAAGGACACTGGAGAAGGAAGGGCGGCACCCAGAAAGGTCAATCAAACATGGGTCGTTAACATTGCCCAAGCAACTCAGGGAGGATGTGAACATATCGGCCATGCCGGTCCTTGATTGGACACGGACGCCCAAAAAGGTCCGCCCTCTCTGACGTCACCATCAGCATATAAGTTATTTTTTCATTTCCTGAGTCCATGGCAGCGGCTGTATAACAGGCACAGTAGCTAGGAGTGAGGTGCAGTTAGGTCGCCATGCTGACAGATTGATCAGCGATCCATGGACTCCCCCATAGTCCACTCTCACCTTCCCGGGTGCTGCCCCCTCTAAACTGAGGTAACCATGTTCCACCATGGTCTTCATTTGTTTTCAAGGCTAGTGCGATCCCACTATGGCCCATGACTGCATGTTGGATGAGAGCCTACTGTGAGACATAGTGAGTTCTACATTTTACAACAAGGCTCCCCTATAATTTGAATTAATCAATAAAAAATTATAAATGTGTGTGTAAGTAGCGCTGAAGTGATTTTGTTTACATATACACTATTCATGGCCCTATACAAATTTCTCAAATATTAAATAAATCGGATATATGGAGACTAAAAATGATGATTAAAAGATATCCTCAATTCACACGACTACTATTATTTATTCCTTTAAATATTTAATTGACCTATCGGAAGCGATATCCCAGCTTGGGATACTTGCGCCTAAATACATTTCATCAACCTATATACAATTCAATAACCGGAATAAAAACAAAATTAAAACTGAGAAACGTTGGTTATCTCAAACACAAAAGAAAATATAAAATGAATTTCCAATATTATTGAATTTTACATGAGTCTTTGTTATATACAAATTCGCAAATTTCTTCGATGATTACTTCTGTAGCTGTGAAAGATCGGACATTCTATTAATAAATGTATTGAGCTTTGGAGTTTCTTTTAGAGTATTAAAATCATTGAGGCAATAATGTTTGTTACAACAATATTCGTTTTGCAAATATTCATTCGGTGGAAGATATCTTTTCTATAAATAAAATATAGAAATGTGTTTGCTTCGTATTAATGAATTGATTGAATTAGGATGGCTTTTTTAAAAAAAGGACCATCGCGGTGGCTTATTTTTTGTTTAGCGTGTATGGAGAGGTTAGTACTATAATTTTTTATTAGGCTAAGTGAAGACCTCGGCTGAGTCATCAGTAAATTACAGAGATGGG